TCAACTGTAAACCTAAAAATTTATAGCCAATTTTGAAAGAGATGCATCTTAACTCTGGAAATTGTTATTGAATATGTCAATGCTATTGTAATGAAATGCTTCTTCTAATTATGTGGTTATTAAATAAACAATTTTTTTAATTACCCTGTGGTAGACCGGAAAGATGGCCCAGGGGATAAGAGTGTAGTACTCTTTTGGAAGGCCCAAGTTCCTAGCATCCACATAGGGTGGCTCACAATTGCCTGTAACTCCAGCTGCAGGGAATCAGATGCCCTCTTCTGGACTCTACCAGCACCTGTTCTCATACCTATATCCACACTCAGATACCTATATACACACATTAAATAAATATATGTTTTTTTAAAAAAAATAAAGTACTGTATGATGTTTAGCAATTTTTTGCTTCTCTTTTTTAAAAAAAATTTATTGGGATTTTGTGCATTTCATATAACAGTTCTTAATCAAATTTAGACCCCCTCCCCTGTCCATACCCCCCCACCAGACGTCATGTACTCCACCATACATGTCAAATCCTATCCAGTAAAGCTTTTGTACCCAGATGTCCTTCAGTACAAATTCATTCACTGATGTCTAGTCAACCATGTTTAGTTTAGCGTTTTATATTTTCTATGCTAATTTGAATTCATAGCAGGATGAAAAATTCAGTCTACTATGTATGTGAAGGACTTTGTGTGGTCCCACTTCTGATTATAAGACAGAAAATTTGTATCTGTTTCCATCAGGTTTATAATTGGAGATTTGCTGGATTCAGAAAATGACATCTTTGAGCAGTCCAAAGAATGTGACCCTCATGGATCAGAGGAGTCACACAAAGCCTTTGACCATGGGACAGAGCTCATCCCTTGGTATGTGCTGTCCATCCAGGCTGATGTGCACCAGTTCCTGCTGCAGGGAGCTACGGTCATCCACTATGACCAGGACACACACCTCTCTGCCCGCTGCTTTCTCCAGCTGCAGCTTGACAATAGTACCTTGACCTGGATGAAGCCTCCCACCACCTCCCCAGCTGGTGCAAGACCTAAGCTTGGTATGCTTAGTAACATGGCTGAGCCTGGCAAGTTCCCATCACTGGGCAGTGCTGGGTTGAGCAGCCTGACAGAGGGGATCCTGGATCTGTTTTCAGTGAAGGCTGTGTACATGGGACACCCTGCCATTGATATACACACTGTATGTGTTCAGAACAAACTGAGCAGCATGCCTCTGTCAGAGACGGGGGTGACCCTGCTCTACGGGCTTCAGACAACTGACAATCGATTATTGCACTTTGTGGCACCAAAACACACAGCTAAAATGCTTTTCAGTGGATTGCTGGAACTCACTACAGCTGTGAGAAAGATAAAAAAGTTCCCTGACCAAAGACAACAGTGGCTTCGGAAACAGTATGTCAGCCTCTATCAGGTAAGTGATACATCCAGCTCTCTCCCTTGGGAAATGTAATCCTCTGGAACACACACTTGGCAATTAAACTACTTGGTTCCCAGGTCTGCCACTTACTCCTGTGCAAACTTGGGCACCTTTTACTTAGCCGTCCCAGTGCACAATTCCCTTATCTTTAAGTGCAAATGAGCAATACCTGTTCATAGGATGACTCAGACTTAGCCAAGTTAGTATATAGAAAGAAAAGATATAAATTTATATGTGTATCTGCTTATGGTAGGTCCTACTTTATTTTATACAATAGTGACTGTGGTCATTGCAATTTTTACATCTAGAAAGAAACCAATCAATATTTTCACTGACTCACCATTTCACTTGAAAGCACCATAAAGCAGGCATGATGGCACAATGGCACATACCTGTAATCCCAGCACTTGAGAGGCTGAGGAAGGCTACGTAGAAAGCTTTATCTCATCAATATATTCTATCTGGCCTCCTTTGGTTCTTCCGTGGAAGGTTATAATCTGATGGTTGTTTTTTTTTGGGGGGGGTTAAAATATTTTATTTATTATTTTTACTTACTGTGTATGAGTGTATTGCCTGTATGTATGTGAGTGCACCCATGTCACGGTGCCGCAGAGGTCAGAACAGGACTTCAGATTCCCCTGGAACTGGGGTTAAGGACGGTTTGTAGCCACCATGTGAGTGCTGGGAATCAAACCCAGGTCCTCTACAAGAGCAGTCAGTGCCCTTAACCACTGAGCCATCTCTCCAGCCACTGGTTTTGGTTTTAATTCATAACTAGTTGAGACCTTGAAAACCTTCCCTTTATAATTGAAATCCTGATTCATCACCTAACATGCTCTGTGACTCCTGGAGAGTTGTTTAACACTGTATATTCCTCTCTAATTGTAGAATTTTTAAGATGGAAAGAAATATTCCCAAATGTGAGATAATTCTCTGGAGTTCTTTTCACTGACTTTATATAGTGGTAACAGCCTGTAGCCCTGTTTCTCATGGTCAACTGCTTAAGCGGAGTCAGTTTTCCATTAACACTGAATTAGCAGGTATTTTAACGCTCTAAGAGTGACAACAGAGATGAGATAAATGAGATGGTGAGAAGAAATGTGGGCACAAAATTCTGTGCTTGCCAGAGGAGGAGGGTACAGATGGCTGGGAAACTAAATCAAACCCTGCCGCGGGTGACATGGTTGAAATGGCATTGTCATAGAATTATATCAAAGTATTGAGTTTTTCTTTGTTATATGTTTCTCTGTTGATGGGAAAAATATCTTGTTTAGTATCACAGAACAAATAGAACTATAATTTAAATTACTTAAATGGTTGATTTCCTATACTTTTTACAGTTTTAGTATGTTCTGACAATTTAGAACATTTGCCCCTTGAGAAAAGAGCTGATACACCTCTTTACCTTTCCCCACACCCATGCAGAGATTATAAAGTAGAAGTCATAGATTGAATAATTAACTTGATTGAATAATATGTATATATGCCTATCCAAGTATACTAATTCCGCATAGCACAAAGCCAGTTTTAGGTAACTCACCTAAAGCGGGAATCAAAGTACCTACTTCCTGTGTGTTCTACTGGGAGCGCTAATGTACTCAGCTGTTTGGAAGAAAGATCATCAAAAACTATGTGTGGGTTGATACTAAATTAAAATTACTCCTCAGCCTCTGAGACTCAATAAAATCCATCAAATGTGGACACAAACCAGTCTGAGCTCAATTACAGTCCCTGTCCCAAACCCCACGTGGTTTGGTTACTGCCTTTATTTCCTTCTGAAGCTTTTAAAGAACTATATTAGCACAGAAGAGGAACTTTCTTTCATTTACCACAGCAGCCTTTGGCTTCTGCACCAGCCAAGTCTGAGGTTGGCTGATGAATTCAGAGGTGCTGCTGGAGCAGAGGCAGATGTTACACAGGGAAGACTTAGTGCAACTCAGCTGTACATACGGTCCCTGACAAAACAACTGACAAAAGCAACTTGAGAAAGGAAGGGTTTATTTAGGCTCACAGCTTGAGATCCCTGTCTACCTTGGCAGGGAAGTCATGGCAATGGGCGTTTAAGGAAGTTGGTCACATCACATCTGTAGTCAGGAAGCATAAAGACAGATGAATGCACTTTCTCCTTTTTAATCAGCCCAGGATCCTAGCACGTGAAATGGTACTGCTCACATTTAGAATAGGTCTTCACTCCTCTATTAAGGCAGTCTAGAAATTCCCTCATGGACAGACCCAGAAGTTTGGTTGCTAGGTGATTCTACATCATGTGATGTTGACAATCAGTGTTAACCATCACAATCCCTGCCCTTCCTCTTCTTTCCTCTTCCCCTTCCTCTTCTGCTTCCCTTTCCCCTTTCCCTCTCCTTTCCCTCAGGGACCCAGGATGCTGCCAACGTAAAGGTCAAATAGTTGTTAAGTACCTCAGGGAATTCAGAAATGCAGGTGATGTTCTTCCTTAAAACACCTTTCTACAAGAGCTGTTCTAGAACATACCTTAGAAACAGATACTCAAGGTTTCTTTCAAAAGGAAAAAATGGGGACTGGAGCGATGGCTCAGCAGTTAAGAGCACTGGCTGCTCTTGCAGAGGACACAGGTTCAGTTCCCAGCACCCACATGGCAGCTAACAACCATCTGTAACTCCAGTTCTGGTACACTAACATACATGCAGGCAAAACACTCACACATAAAAATAAACTTTAAAAATTTTTAAAGAAAAAAGTGTAAAAGGCCAATGATGGTTATCTTTTCATCATACAGACTAGTTCCCAGATTGCTTCAGGGAGCCCCCCAAGAAGATGCTGATTGGTACTTGCAGAACAAAAGGTCCAGTAAATCTTGTGTTGGTGTCAAATATCCATTTGTGATGGATGTTCCTGATGCTGGAAGACTGAGAAATGATTGTAATTAAAAATAATTCTAGGAGCCTGGAGAGATGGTTCAACAATTAAGAGCACAGACTGCTCTTCCAGAGGACCTGAATTCGGTTCCCAGGACCCACACAGCAGCTAACAACTGTTCCTGACTGCAGTTCCAGGGGATCCAACTCCTTCTTCTGGCCTCTTCAGGCATTGCACAACACACATGCACTTACATACAGGCAAAACACTCATACACATAAAATACATACATACATACATACATACATATATACATACATACATACTAAATAATAATAAAGTGGTTTTTTCAAAAAATCCAATTTAAAAACAGCACTCATAGACTTTTCTTCCAAATAGCTCAGCATGCTGAAATCTCCCTGTAGAACACCCAGGAGGCAGGTATTTTAATTTCCATTTTAGATGAGCTAACTCCACCTAGTTTTGTGCTATGTAGAATCCATATTGGTTAAGTGATGCATACATGTTAGCAATAAAATGACCTGTAATACCCTAGTACAAAAAACATCTATTTAAATGTATAAGTTTTTGAGTACTTGTGGGATTTTTCCAAACTTCTGTTAACAACCCTTTAAGAGCATTTCTTTATCCCCAGTTTGGGAAAAGTAAACATAGAAAATAAAAATAATCTTTCCAACATTGGAAAAAAATAATATTTCCAGTATCAGAGGGAAAAATCATAACATAATAAAGCCCACAAACTGCAGCAGTGTTGATGTGCAGTGTGGAAGACAGATGGACCCCTTATCTTTGGCCTGTAGTTTTCAGGGATAAAGCTGGGGGCTCATACTCCTGGGTATTTGGAAGGATCTATGGGCAATCTGAGAAGATCAAATTCAGAAATATCAGATAAGTATCTTTGGTTGTAAGCTATAGAAACAAATTTTTCATAAAGCAGAGGAAAAATATTTAACCAAAGGGTATAAATTAGTTTAATGGTCTTGAAAACATCATAAGAAAGATAGGTCGATAGAAGAAAATCCATGAATATTTTTTAAGGAATGATTTTCCTAATTGTCAACTGCTCCATGAACTACTTCTACATCTGAGAATGTTCCCACACTCATAATCATCCTTCATTCACAGCATGAAAACACAGAATCTCCTTTACCCATCCCAAGCATGTTTATTGTTTTGTATAAGACAAATGAAAGATTTGTACTTTATTTTCATTTTCAGAAAGTATCATTGAAAGATTAAACAAACATATCCTGTCTTCCCCTGACCCAGTATTCCTAAGGGTAAATTTTGGCCCACGTAGGGATATTCTGATATTAACAAAACTGAAACAGCAGAAATTAATCATGCTGTTGATTCTTTTATTATAACCTGTAACAGGTCTATCTAATAAAACTTTAAAAGCATGTGGGTTAAAAATAAATAGATAAAAGGTTTATAAGAATTCCTTCAGATTTAGAGTATGTAATTCAACAAGGTAGTTTAAATCTATGTATTTATTTCTGTTATAGAATATGCATTTTAATTTGGAGTACTCGTAATAGCTCTTTAGCAGGTACTGTCTTCAGGAAGCCTCTGTCAGGTAGGATGATCTGCATCCATGTTTATTCCCTCTACAGCCAAGAATCCTATTCCTGGCAGGGTACTGAGGCATGTGCCGGTTGCCTCAACTATTTGGGAGACTGAGACAAGAGGATCATGAGTTGGAAGTTAACCTGGGCTGCATAACAGGACCGTCTTTTATAAAAAAAAATCAGGAAAGGAGATTCTGATTCGTTTATTTGCCTTATGCATCAATCACTGGTCAAGGGAACATATTCCACTTTGATTGGCAGATCCATCGAGATTTCCTGGAAAAGAGATAAAGGGAAAATGGGGTATGATTAGACAAGAAAGAAACAGGCATAAAAACATAAAGGTCACAGATGTCCCATTACAGGTGGTCACCTAAAAGTTTCTATATGGAGTACCCAAGTTATCCTGCATTCTGGGACCATAACCGGATACAGGAGGTAGAATTCACAGCTCAAGTCATAAGATGAGATAGCCATTGAACATTAGGGTAAAGGAGCGAGCAAATGTCTTCTTTATTATCTGCATGGTATTTGCAATGAAGCAAAGTCTATTTACAGATACTTTCTAACTGTAAAAGAGGGATGCCCTTAAAAGATTACAGGGCACACACATAGATAGATACATAGATGATAAACAGACAGGTAGATAGATAGATGATTAGATAGGTACGTAGGTAGGTAGATAGATAGATAGATAGATAGATAGATAGATATAGATAGATGATAGATAGATGATAGGTAGGTATATGATAGATAGATAGATAGATAGATAGATGATAGATAGATAGATGATAGATAGATAGATAGATGATATGTTCCGGGGCCGGGCATGGTGACGCACGCCTTTAATCCCAGCACTTGGGAGGCAGATGCAGGCGGATCTTTGTAAGTTCGTGGCCAGCCTGGTCTACATAGTGAGTTCCAGGACAGCTGGGGCTACAGGGAGACCCTATCTCAAAAGGATAAATAAATAGATAAATAAATAAGGGTTCCAGGGAATAGACAGTAAATGGAAATAAATTTTGAGGGGAAAGGGAGTTCTGAGGATTGACTCAGGACCTCATAGATGCTAGAAAATTCCTTCAAAATCCTAATTTATAAAATCTTCAAGATTTTGAAGTGCATGCTAGCCAAGCCCTGTCAACTAAAGCTACACTCCCAACCCCTAATTTGCAAAGTCTTAATGAATTTTCCCACAGTTCTAGTCCTTGAATAACTTCCAAGACCAGGATGGAAGTGTTTAAACTGACCAGGGATGTGACCAAGACAACCAGGGACAGAGTCGGAAATCAAAGCCATTGGGGTGGCCAAATCACTGTGCTGCTGTGGCCACCTGGCTCGTCCACCCCTGGGAATTTACAGGGACCATTAATGTTTACTTCCTGTTGCTTGCTGCTTGCTGTGTGTTCAGCCTATGGTTCTTTACAGGAGGATGGTCGGTATGAAGGCCCAACTTTGGCTCATGCTGTGGAGTTGTTTGGTGGCAGACGATGGAGCACTAGAAACGCCAGCCCTGGGATATCAGCAAAGAATGCCGAAAAGCCCAACATGCAGAGAAACAATACCCTGGGCATAAGCACCACCAAGAAGAAGAAGAAAATGCTCATGAGGGTAGCATAAATTTGTTTATTAAGCATCAAGCCCAGCCTTTCAGGACTATTGTGTGTGATCTATGTCACCATAAACTATCTTAGGTCATTTGAGTTGGGGACAAGATGAGGTATAAAATAATTGGTACAAGGGTTTGCCACATACCTCTTGGGTGCCAAGGTCAGTGTCAGAAATCAAGCCAACACCAGGGAGAAGAAAAGCGCTTAAAAATGTACATTGAAGTTAAATGCAATGTATTTATTGTAAATATGAGTCATTGTTAAGGCACTGCAAAGTGATGAGTCAGCAGAGGAATGGCCACTCTGGGCCAAAGTCATGCAGCAAAGACTCAGAGCAGTGGACAGTGGGCCTCAAAGCTTGGCTAGAAGTTCACCAAGCACACTGCAAAGGGAAACATCTACCCAGAGACGAGATCAGAGAGGCATAAAAGGCTTTGCTTGTTCCGAGGGGTACATGCGATTCTGGGTGGCTGGAGCACAAGTTCTGTGGTGGGCAAAGAAGGACTAGAAAAGAAAAAAGGTTACAATGGCATGGTGGCTCACTCCTGTAATCCCAGTACATTAGAGGCTGAAGTAAAAGGACTGTAGTGAGTTCAAGGCCAGCCTGGGCTACAGAGTAAGACATTGTCTCAAAATACAAAGAACTGGAAAGAAAACAAAAAAAGTGATCCCATTATGAAGGCCCACAGTGTTGTATGTGAGACAGTTTAAAATGTGTTACCACACTATAGATTATTAATTATATAATGTGCTTTTTCATCATGGCATAATATATTTACTTCATAACTGTCTAAAACAGTCCACTCTGCACATGGGAGGCTATCAGTGATTTTTAGAGCTTCTCATTGTGTCTGCCCCCGGAGATTCCAAGGGTGTGCCTCCTTTTTTCAGCCTCCGTTGCTGGGGAGCACTGTTTCATAGCAAAGAGCACAGTGGATAATGTGACCTGAGAACACTCAGGCAGCCTTGGCATGGGTCTTTATTGGCCTCACCAGTGTGGAGACAGGCTTGAAGGGTGTGGGGTAAAAAATAGGAGCCTGTCTGAACTGACACATTCAGGGAAAGCAATACAGTCCAAGAGTCATGTGAACTTTCTGTTCCCAGGGAGAGAGTGGAGAGGCAACTGATGACGAGATGGCAACCCGCAAGGCCAAAGTCTACAGAGAGTGTCGAAGCCGAAGCGGCTCTGATCCTCAAGACATAAACGAACAGGAAGAGTCGGGTAACACAACATGCAGCGTGTGCACAGCTGAGATTTTTGTGCTTTAATTTTACAGAAAAAAATACATTTTGGTTTATAGAGTGATTTTAACTTAATATTGTCAGAATTATTTTTTAATATTTAATTTTTTATTTTATGTGTATGAGTGTTTTCCCTGCATGGATTTAAGTACACTTGTGTCATACAGTGCCCATGGAGGCCAGAAAAGGGTGTTGGATCTCCTGGAACTGGAGTTAAGGTGGTTGTTAGCTGCCATGTGGGTGCTGGGAACTGGATATGGGTGAATGGATGAATGGACACAGATGATGGATGGATGGGTGGACGGGTGGATGGGTGGGTGGATGGATGGATGGATGGATGGATGGATGGATGGTGTGTGTGTGTGTGTGTGTGTGTGTGTATGTATGTCTATGTGTACACATGTAAGTGCCTGTGGAGGCAAGAAGACTGTATTGAATCACCCGGAGCTGGAGTTACAGGCAGTTGTGAACCACCCAGTATGGGTGCTGGGAACTGAACAATGTGCTTGCTCTACAAGAGCAGCAAGCTCTCTTTACTGCTGAGCCATCTTTCAGCCCCTTGTGAGAATTCTTAGTAAAACTGTCTTAATGAGCTGGGCGTGGTGCACTCCCACCACTCAAGAGGCAGAGGCAGGTGTATCTCTCTGAGTTCAAGGCCAGCTTGGTCTACATAGTGAGCTCCAGGCCAGCTGGGGCTATA